TATCATGATGTTGCTTATTTGTCCAGTTGTGAGCATTTTTGTTTTCTTTATGTTGAGGTGTAATCCATACTGAAGGCTGTGGTCTTTGATCTTCATCAGTAAGTGCTTCAAGCACTTTACTTTGAGCAAGCAAGGTTATGTCATCTTCACTTTGAGCAAGCAAGATTGTGTCATCTGCATATCACAGGCTGTTAATGAGTCTTCCTCCAATCCCGGTGCACTGTTGTTCTTCATATAGTCCAGCTTCTCGGATTATTTGCTCAGCATATAGATTGAATAAGTATGGTGAAAGGATACAACCCTGGTTGACACCTTTCCTGACTTCAAACTATGCAGTATCCCATTGTTCTGTTCTAACTACTGCCTGTTAATCTATGCACAGGTTCCTCATGAGCACAATTAATTGTTCTGGGATTCCCATGCTTCACAATGTTATCCATAATTTGTTTGAATCTCCTAAGGGACTAGAAGTGGGACCTAGGAAACGACAAGAAGTAAGTTAGTGTGGAAGTTAGTAAGGAAGTTCTACTTCCCATGTGTGGTTTCTTTCCCTGTTGGGCCATATGTATTTCTTGCTGTTTATCAACTTTGTTCTCTATCTTTTCCGTTAATGACTTCTTTGGTAAATTAAGTAATATTCTGCTCTTTAAACAGTCTAATCTAGCTGAGCAGAAGAAGAGAAACTCAGAAAAGTTGATATGGCCTAATTCCATTCATATTGTTTTGCCCTTCATATAATTATGTTCTTAAAAGCCTGGATAGTGGTTACCCTGGGATGAGGGTGGGGCAAGGTTAGTGACTAGTAGGGAGCCCAAGGGGATACTTCCTTTGTTTATGAATCCACCAGTCACAGTATATGACCTTAGAGGTGTTTTTAAGCCTTTCTTAAGGGAGGGTGGGCATTTTCCTATTTTTTTTACCTGTGGCTTTTAGGATTGTTATGGTGCCAGTTACTTATCCTTATGCTTCTTATTTTGCCTCTCCTGTCCAGATTGTTTGATGTGCTGCTTATGTGTGTTTGTTATAGCTTTCCTCATTGAAATCTAAAATATATGCCTCATTGGTCTCATTGTTTTCCAATATTTCCCATTTAATGTTGCTAACTACAGTGAAACCTGTGAGAGCTGGAACTCAACAGGACTGCCTTGTTTTTCTGGGTCTCGCCAGTTTTCTGCCTTTGAAAGGGTACAGTCTTACCACTTTTCTATTGCTTGTTTTGATGGAAAATATATGAGTTTTCCTTCTCTGATGGATTTCTGGCTTTTGTAAGTTTTACTGTAGTTGAATTTTGGCCAGGTTTGTGAAAAATGTGTAAATCTTCATGATATTGTTGGATACTGCTTACTGAGTGAGGAAAAAGAGGCATTGGGGGTGTGTGGGGAATGGATAACACTAAAATAAAGGTGGAGGGGAGGAAGTGTCAATGTTTCATATTGTCTGTATTTTCTCCATAGTCCTTGTTCTTTGGTAACATGTATCTTGCAAAGCTTTATTTTAGCGTTAATTAAATGTTAGAACTGACTTTCTGTGACAGGCAGAAGAAGGTCTATTTTATAATGACTTTTATTTTCTTAAGCTAAACTGTGCTATTAATTATTAGGTATAGGAAGAGTCCGTGAATATAAAGAGAAAAGTAAATACTTAGATAACTAAAAGTGTACTCATTATGAATAATACAATTTATTAAAATGTCTTATCATGTCGTCTTATGAGCCTCCTCTGCTGTTTTTCCTTTGGCAATTTATAATCAATATGCCATGGACTTCATTGCACATCTAAACACCTTTTAATAAGAAATACATTTCTGGCTTTAGCTGTTGCGCAAAAAATGTGAAGTGTCACTTTTTAAAATATGTTTTCCCATACAAAAATTTATACACATACATTGTTATGTGACTCTAATTGTGCTCCCCATACTGTGACAGCACACTCCTCCTTTCCACCCCCGATACCCCATGTCCATTCAACCAGCTCCTAACCCTCTCTGCCTTCCCATCTCACCTCTGGACAGAAGCTGCACATTTATCTCTTGTATCTACTTGAGCCAAGAGGCACACTCCTCAAGAGTATCACTTTATGTCCCATAGTCCAGTCCAATCCCTGTCTGAAGAGTTGGCCTCGGAAATTCTTTTAAATCTGGGCTGATAGAGAATCCAGGGGCTATGCTTTCCGGGGTTCCTCCAGTCTCAGTCAGGTCATTAAGTCTGGTCTTCTTACTAGAATTTGAGTTCTGCACCCCATCTTTCTGCTGCTCCATCTGGGACTCTCTGTTGTGTTCCCTGTCAGGATGGTGATTGATGGTAGCTGGGCACAATCTAGTTCTTCTGGTCTCAGGCTGATGAAGTCTCTGGTTTATGTGGCCCATTCTATCTCTTGGGGTAATACTTTCCTTGTGTCTTTGGTGTTCTTCATTTTCCCTTACTCCAGGTGGTTAGACCACCTGGTGCATCTTAGATGGCCGCTTGCAGGCTTTTAAGACCCCAGATGCCACTCACCAAAGTAGGATGCAGAACATTTTCTTAATAAACTTTGTTATGCCAATTGACCTAGATGTCCCCTGAAAGCATGGTCCCCAGACCCTTACCCCTGCTACTGTGTCCCTCAGAGTGTTTGACTGTACTCAGGAAACTTCTTAGCTTTGGTCCAGTTGTGCTGACTTTCCCTGTAGTGTGTGCTGTCCTTCCCTTCACCTAAGATAATTCTTGTCTACTATCTAGTTAGTAAATAACCCTCACCCTCTGTCCCCACCCTTGTAACCATCAAAGAATGTTTTCTTCTGTGTTTAAACCTTTTCTTGAGTTCTTATGATAGTGGTCTTATACAATATTTGTCCTTCTGTGACTGGCTAAATTCACTCAGCATAATGACCTACAGCTTCCCCCATGTTATAAGATGTTTCACGGCTTCATCGTTGTTCTTTATTGTTGCATAGTATTCCATTGTGTGGATATACCATAGTTGTTTATCCATTCATCCGTCAGTGGGCACCTAGGTTGTTTCCATCTTTTTGCTATTGTGAACAGTGCTGCAGTGAACATGGCATATATCTATTCGTGTGACAGCTCTTATTTCTCTAGGCTGTATTCCAAGGAGCGGGATAGCTGGATTGTATGGTATTTCTATTTCTAGCTTTTAGGAAGCGCCAAATTGATTTCCAAAGTGGTTGTACCATTTTATATTCCCACCAACAGTGTATAAGTGTTCTAGTGTCTCCACAACCTCTCCAGCATTTATTATTTTGTGTTTTTTGGATTAATGTTAGCCTTGTTGGGGTGAGATGATATCTCATTGTAGTTTTGATCTGCATTTCTCTAATGGCTAATGATCGTGCGTGTTTCTTCATGTGTCTTTTAGCCGCCTGAATATCTTCTTTGTTGAAGTGCGTCATGTCCTGTGCCCATTTTTTAATTGGGTTATTTGTCTTTTTGTTTTTGAGGTTTTGCAGTATCTTGTAGATTTTAGAGATTAGATGCTGATCGGATTCGTCGTAGCCAAAAATTTTTTCCAGTCTGTAGGTTGTCTTTTTACTCTTTTGGTGAAGTCTTTGGATGAGCATAAGTGTTTGATTTTTAGGAGCTCCCATTTATCTATTGTGCTTATCCCATGTATTAGGGCTCCTAGCATTGTCCCTGTTTTTTCTTCCATGATCTTTATCGTTTTTGATTTTGTATTTAAGTCTTTGATCTATTCTGTGTTAGTTTTTGTGCATGGTGTGAGGTATGGGTCTTGTTTCAGTTTTTTGCAGATGGATATCCAGTTATGCCAGCACCGTTTGTCAAAGAGACTGTCTTTTCCCCAATTAACGGGCTTTGGGCCTTTGTCAAATATCAGCTGCTCATAGGTGGATGAATTTATGTCTGGATTCTTAATTCTGTTCCATTGGTCTATGTATCTGTTGTTGTACCAATACCAGGCTGTTTATCTCTTGTTGTACCAGTACCAGGCTGTTTTGACTACCATGACGGTATAATAGGTTCCAAAATCAGGTAGTGTGAGGCCTCCCACGTTGTTCTTCTTCTTGAGTAATGCTTTACTTATTCGGGGCCTCTTCCCTTTCCATATGAAGTTGGTGAATTGTTTCTCCATCTCATTAAAAAATGCCGGTGGATAAAATATCACTTTTTAAGCGTAATGAATGTTGTAGAGAGGTTTAACCCTTTCAAGACCCAATTATTTTCTGCTTTGAATTTTATTTTTTTAAATACAATATGTTTTCATTAATGGAAGCACGCTGAGTCATGGAGTGTGTTTAAATTTTTCATTGGTAATAAAGATTTTGAGAAATATTATGTGGGAATATATGGTTACCACATAACTTTGGGGGTTCTTGGACATGATGGTTGGTAGGTGCCCATTTGTCCCACTGGTCATGGGTGGCAGGATGTATTGTGGTGTGCCTTCCGTTAGGTTACATGGGGAATCTCTGGTTTTCCAAATATGACACACAGACACAAATCAAAACCCACCAGGGCTCCCTAACTATCACATCATACCTGTTGCCGTCGAATCAACTCTGACTCATAGTGACCCTACAGGGCAGAGTAAAACTGCCCCATAGAGTTTCCAAGGAGTGGCTGGTGGGTTTCAACTGCCAACCTTTTGGTTAGCAGCCAAGCTCTTAACCACTGTGTGACTAGGGCTCCAGCTATCACACAGGAAACCATAAATATGCTTGCAAGGCTTATCTAGGGGTACAAAAGCCAAAAGAGACAGAAATTTTACCCAGTCATACTTCCTGGATGCACTACCTCACGTTTAAGCCTCATAACCCAATTATTTTGCTTCAATGAACATGTCTTTCACCTTTCACTATTACACAAAAGTCCCAACTGGAGGGCAGCAAATACTTTCAGCAGGAAAAGTAGATTTCCAAGAAACCTGAGACCTGGAAAAAGTGGGTGGGCAACTGTATATCCCGCGGATCCTGAAAGGTTTCAATATAGAGTTCTTGTACTTTAGAGAAGGTATTAAAGACATGTTTTACTCTTTTCTCTTTGAAGGATGTGGTAACTGGACTTAGTCCCCTGCTCTTCAGGAAGCTCAGTAATCCTGACATATTTTCATCCACCGGAAAAGCTAAACTCCAACGACAGCTTAGTCAGGATGACTGTAAGTTACGGAGAGGAAGCCTGGCCGGTTCTCTGTCAGGTAAATGTCTAATATTGTTTTTTAAGAAATGTGAGACTGCTGTTAGTATTTAAGGGCATATCATCTGACTTGGCACCTTTGACTGCTTCTTTTCTGGTGGTAGCCTTATATAGAACACTTGCTGATAAGGCTGTTGTCCTCCCTTACTACTTCCTCATGGAATCTCTGAATTCTAATCTCCTGAACCTGCTAGATAATTCTTGGTTGACCACTAATACTGGATATTCCTTTTCAGTCTGATTTTTGCCCTCTGCCTACTTTTGCACACTTTACAGTCTTTACTTTTCTTTTTTCCTTCATTCCCAAAATCTAAAGACCATAGTGCCTTCCCACCTCCTCCAAATAAAAGGCAGTTAAAAATCCAGTTGAATACCAATTTAGATGTTTCAACAAACAGATGCAGCACTGGAAGTGCTCACTTGTCTGTGCCAGGAAATTTGGAAGACAGCTACCTGGCCAACCGACTGGAGGAGATCCATATATGTGCCTATTCCAAAGAAAGATTATCCAATAGAATGCAGAAATTATTGAACAATATCATATGCAAGTAAAATTTTGCTGAAGATCATTCAAAAACGGTTGCAGCAGTACAGCGACAGGAAACTGCCAGAAATTCAAACCGGATCCAGTAGAGGACATGGAACCAGAGTTATCATTGCTGATGTCAGATGGATCTTGGCTGGAAGCAGAGAATACTAGAGAGATGTTTACCTGTGCTTTATTGACTATGCAGAGACATTCAACTGTGTGGGTTATAACAAATTATGTATAACATTTTGAAGACTAGGAATTCCAGAACACTTAATTGGGCTCATGTGGAACCTGTACATAGACCAAGAGGCAGTCGTTTGAATAGAAGAAGGGGAGACTGTGGTTTAAAATCAGGAAAGGTGTGCATCAGGGTTGTGTCTGTTCACCATATTTATTCAGTCTACACGCTGAGCAAATAATCTGGGAAACTGGACTGTGTGAAGAAGAATGTGGCATCAGGATTGGAGGAAGACTCATTAACAACCTGCAATATGCAAATGACACAACCTTGCTTGCTGAAAGCGAAGAGGACTTAAAGCACTTACTGATGAACATCAAAGGCTGCAGCCTTCAGTATGGATTACACCTCAACATAAAGAAAACAAAATCCTCACAACTGAACCAGTAAGCAACATCATGATAAATGGAGAAAAGATTGAAGTTGCCAAAGATTTCATTTTATTTGGATCCACAATCAGCACCTGTGGAAGCAGCAGTCAAGAAATCAAACAACGTATTGCATTGGCAGATCTGCTGCAAAGACCTGTTAAAAGTGTTAAAAAGCAAAGATGTCACTTTGAAGACTAAGGTGCGCCTGACCCAAACTATGGTATTTTCAATGGCTTCGTATGCATGTGAAAGCTGCCCAGTGAATAAGGAAGACCAAAGAAGAATTGATGCCTTTGAATTATGGTGTTGGTGAAGACTATTGAATATACCAAAGACTGCCAGAATGAAGAAATCTGTCTTGCAAGTACAGCCAGAATGCTCCTTAGAAGTGAGGATGGTGAGACTATTGTCTCACATACTTTGGACAGTTTATCATGAGGTACCAGTCCCTGGAGAAGGACATCATGCTTAGTAAAGTAGAGGGTCGATGAAAAAGAGGAAAATCCTCAGTGAGATGGATTGACACAGAGGCTGCAACAGTAGGCTTAGACAGCAACAGTTGTGAGGATGGCACAGGACCGGACAGTATTTTGTTCTGTTATATATAAGGTTCCTGTGAATGAGAACCAACTTGATGGCACCTAACAACAACGAAAAGTCCCAGGTGGAAAAAATTATGCAAGGAATTCATGGCCCAAATAGAAAGCAATTAAAATGTGTCATGTTTTAAAACAATCAACAGAGTATGAAATAAAGAGAATCTATCTAATAATAATAGATCAACAAGAAAATATAATCATACCATACTCTTCGACCTAGCAGTAAATAGTAAACCGTTTTCAGTTTCTTTTTCTTTTTGTCGCTTGTCAGGGCTATTTGCCTGACCTTATCTCTCTTCTTACTCTTCTTTGAAATTTCGTTTTTGACAATCATGTATCTAATCACATAGAGCCGTTTCTTCGTCTTTGTTTTTCATAACATTGTTTTATTTTAAGGATCTTTTTAATTCTCCACAAGCAAACAGTTTTTTTTTTTTTTAATTGTGCTTTAAGTGAATGTTTACAGTTCAAGTTAGTTTCTCATACAAAAATTTATACACACATTGTTATGTGACCCTAGTTGCTCTCCCTGTACTGTGACAGCACCACTACTCCTTTCCACCCCGGATTTCCTGTGTCCATTCACCCAGCTCCTGTCCCTTTCTGCCTTCTCATCTTGCCTCGGGACAGGAGCTGCCCATTTAGACTCCTGTATCTACTTGAGCTAAGAAGCACACTCTGCACAATTATCATTTTATGTCTTACAGTCCAGTCTAATCTTTGTTTGAAGAGTTGGCTTTGGGGATGGTTTTAGTTTTGGGCTAACAGATTGGGGGCCATGTCTTCCAGGGTCCCTCCAGTCTCAGTAAGACCATTAAGTCTGGTCTTTTTACTAGAATTTGAGTTCTGCACCCCTTCCTGCTCTGTCAGGAACTCTCTGTTGTGTTCCCCATCAGGGCGGTCGTTGATGGTAACCGGCACCGTTTAGTTCTTCTGGTCTCAGGCTGATGGAGTCTCTGGTTTATGTGGCCCTTTCTGTGTCTTGGGCTAATATTTTCCTTGTGTCTTTGGTGTTCTTCATTCACATTTGCTCCAGGTAGGTTGGGACCAATTGATGCATCTTAGATGGCTGCTTACTAGCTTTTAAGACCTCGGATGCCACTCACCAAAGTGGAATGCAGAACATTTTCCTAATAAACTTTGTTATGACAGTTGACCTAGATGTCCCCTGAAACCGTGGTTCCCAGATCCCTGCCCCTCCTACTCTGTCCCTCAAAGTGTTTGGTTGTGTTCAGGAAACTTCTTAGCTTTTGATTTGGTCCAGTTATGCCGACTTCCCCTGTAGTATGTGTTGTCCTTCCTTCACCTCAGATAATTCTTTTCTACTATCTAGTTAGTGAATACCTGTCTCTTTCGCTCCTCACCCTCGTAACCATCAATGAATCTTTTCTTCTGTGTTTAAACCTTTTCTTGAGTTCTTAAAATAGTGGTCTGATACAATATTTATCCTTTTGCGACTGACTAGTTTCACTCAGCATGATACCTTGCAGATACATCCATGTTATGAGACATTTCAAGGATTCATCATTGTTCTTTATCATTTGTAGTATTCCATTGTGTGACTATACCATAATTTATCCATTCGTCTGTTGATGGGCACCTAGGTTTGCTTCTGTCTTTTTGTGCTACAGTGCTACCGTGAACATGGGTGTGCGTATATCTGTTGGTGCAACGGCTCTTATTTCTCTAGGATATATTCCAAGGAGTGAGATTGCTGGATTGTATGGTACTTCTGTTTCTAGCTTTGTAAGGCAGTGCCAAATCGATTTCCAAAGTGGTTGTACCATTTTACATTCCTGCCAACAGTCCAGTCTCTCCACAACCTCTCCAACATTTATTATTTGGTGTTTTTTGGAGTAATGCTAGCCTTGTTGGGGTGAGATGGTGTCTCATCGTCGTTTTGATTTGCATTGCTCTAAATTTCCTCGTGTATCTGGTAGCCGTCTGAATGTCTTCTTTGGTGAAGTGCCTGTTCATATCCTTAGCTCATTTTTTAATTGGGTTATTTGTCTTTCTCTTGCTGAGATTTTGCAGTATCTTGTAGATTTTAGAGATTAGACACTGATTGGATTTGTTGTAGCCAAAAATTTTCTCCCAGTCTGTAGGTTGTCTTGACTCTTTTGGTGAAGTCTTTTTTAAAAAAAATTTTCTTTTTCTTCTCACTTTTTTAGTGAAGTTTTTTTTTTTTTAATTGTGCTTTAGGTGAGGGTTTACAGAACAAATAGTTCTCATTAAACAGTCAGTACACATATTGTTTTATGACATTGGTTAACAACCCCGTGACATGTCAACACTCTCCCTTCTCGACGTTTGAGGACCTTTTTTTTTTTTGGTGAAAATATACATAGGCAAAGGTACACCTTTTCATAAATTTCTACATGTACAATTCAGTGACATCGATTACGTTCTTTCAGTTGTGCTGCTATTCTCACTTTAAATGAAGGATTACAGAACAAAATACTTTCTTATTAAATGGTTAGTACACATATTGCCCTATTACAATGGTTAACAACCCCACTACATGTCAACACCGTCCTTACTCAACGTTGGGTTCCCTATCACCAGCTTTCCTCTCCCCTTCTGCCTTCTAGTCCTTGTCCCTGGACTGCTGTGTCTCATTAGTCCTGTTTTGTTTTATGGGGCTGTCCAATCCCTGGCTGAACCGTGAACCTCAGGAGTGACTTCAACACTGAGCTAAAAGCGTGTCTGGGGGCCCGTACTCTCAGAGTTTCTCTCGTCTCTGTCAGGCCAATAAATCTGGTCTTTTTTGTGAGTTAGAATTTTGTTTTACATCCTTCTCCAGCTCTGTCCAGAGCCTTCTGTTGTGATCCTGGTCAGAGCAGTCAGTGGTGGTAGCCGGGCACCATCTAGCTGTACTGGACTCAGTCTGGTGGATGC